CACACACACACACACACACACACACACACACACATACACACACACGCACACATACACACACGCACAGACTAACCTTTCACCTGTCTAGTAAATAATGTCGGGGAAAAATTGAGAAGGGAACATCGATTCAAGCAATTCCTTTCTGTCCAAGTGATTCTGATAACATTTTAATCTCTATTTTCCGATAATGCAAACACAATTTGGCATTTTATCCAACCATTATTAATACAGATGAGGTTATACATCCACCTTAACAACATATCTTGTCTTCTAATTTGTCATTTTTTCGAGTCAAACGACTCGAGGTTTGGAGATATGTTTAGAGATACATGTCTTCGAGCAGCATAGTTTGCGTTACAAAAGACATCGTACATCACGAGACAAGACAGTTTACTCCTCTCTGTGGAATTTTTAAAGCACAACCATAAATCACAAATTATTAACAGTTAATAAATCAAGAAAGAAAAACATAAACCAAGAAAACAAATGAAATCAAAACAAACGAAACAAACGCAACAAACAACAACAACAGCGACAACCTCGACAACAACAACAACAACAACAACAAAAACAACAACAACAACAACAACAACAACAACAACAACAACAAAAACAACAACAAAAACAACAACAACAACAAAAACAACAACAACAACAACAACAACAACAGCAACAACAGAAACAGCAACAGCAACAACAGAAACAGCAACAAACAGAACAAACTGAAATAAACCAAATCAGTTTTACTGCGTCTGCCATTTTGATATCTATATTTCGCCCAGTCAGCGTCAATTCACAAGCAGACGGCTTAAGAAAATTAAAGAAAACGAGAACGCCCAAATCAGAAATATGACTGGGGCATTCGTTCTCGCTATCTTTCAATTAAAAAGTAGGAAAGAAATAACGGAACAGAACGAAAATACCTTTGGAAGATGCCCCTTGATGTCTACATTCCAGTAGGACTAACAGCTGTATCTGGAAACCCCCACTGGCTGATCGTGGAATGACGCTGACGATCTGCGATGTGTGTGACGTAATAGTGTATTTAAAGAGAAGTTCTAGATCTGGTTTTCTGGGGACAACGGAGTAAAACGTTTTCATCAGCGCCGGTCGTTGGCGACACTGCAAAAGCCAGAATGGATTTTCATACACTTTGCTTTTCTGTCTTTTATTTATCTATTTATTTTTTAAATTTATTTATCTATTTATGTATGTATGTATTTATGTTTTTATGTATTTATTTATTTATTTATTTACTTATGTGGTAAATTTCGGTTTCAGCCCCCTCCTTTTTTCCTTTCCCTACACCCCCTCCCCAATCCAAACCATTCTTAAAATGATTCTTGTCTGTCGTTCATTGTACACGAGGTCACAGAAGTAAACCGTTAAAAAAAAGTGTCATTTCGAGAAGAGCACTATGTTGGTTCTTTTAGTTTAGTTTTAGTAGAGGTTTTACGGCGCTCGTAACTGCATAAGGTCATAGGAGCGCCAAGGGGTATGTCAGAAGAGAAGTCCTTACAGGGAATCAAACTTACTCCTCTCACCTCTCTAGCTTCAACAGTACAAAGTCTGCTTCGACTATCACGGCACCCGGGAAATAGCGGGTCACAAGAGAGTGACAAACATACAAAAAAAAAGTAGAGGAAAAATGACGATATTAAGGATTAGAAAAGAAAAAGCAGTAGTTCCCTGTTGCAGTTCAGGCACAGTTATGAGCATGACATTGATGAATCATCCAATTTACAATTACAATTCTACCGTGCATTAGAACTCGAGATGTTAATCCCTCCCCCCCCCCTCTCTTTGAGAATGGCCTAAAGACACGTCTGTCAGTAACACCACCCCGGGGGATATTATGTTGATTCAAAACGCTTAACTTGTCTAGATCCGTTATTTGTTAAAGAAAAGGAATGATACTAAAACCAGTTGATGAGTTTCATCAAACTCTATAACAGTAACATGCTTGGTTTCCATTCTTTCGAAATTTGACAAAAAGCAAAGTTGAACGACGACCACGAAGTAATAATATCGGCTTTCGTGCATGACGTCACGCTTACCCAGTGACTCCACGGAGATTGGAGGCCCTCGTTGTGGCTAATACTAAAAGGTCAAGTCAGCTCCGAATAGAGGGCTCAAGTAATATCTTTATTATAAATATTATGTCTTCTTGAGCTCATACGTCCAGACTTTAAGTTTTCTACATATTTAATTCTTAAGGGGGCGAGCTTTCTGGTACTGTAGATTTCGTGCTTATATCAAGAAATACTATCCCCAGTAACCGGATTTTCCACAATTCTGGTCTTGCAAATAAATGATACAACCAGTGACTTTTCGCATTTCTTTCAGCCAAATGGGTTAGTTTTGAGTTAGCTGAGAGTCAGGATCGTAAGCGTGCCCTTCTCCGATAGAACATGAAGAGTTCGGAGGAAGCAAACACCCCCCCTCTCTCTCTCTCTCTCTCTCTCTCTCTCTCCCCCCCTCTCTCTCTCTCTCTAACAGGTTCTTTCCGTTTTCACAGCCTGTGTAAACACTCAGTATCCACCGCTTCTATTCTCGTGTGATCTTCTTCTGTCATTGTGGCTTTCTCCAAAAGGTCAGATCCGATCTTCGTCCCTCCACCAATGACGGCTGACAGGGGGGCTACTGATCTGAGGGTTCACACCCCGCTATCTCTCACCTCTCAGCGACTCGATGTTTTTATCGCTCTCTCCGGGTCCATATTTTCGACTGACGGGAAGGTGAGTTTACAGCACGTGCCCTCTGGCTCTGCGAGACTCCTTGTCGATAGCATTATAGTATATATA